TTGCATTTTTGTTTCATAGTGTTCTAGAAGGACACTGAGAATGCTATGGCCCAGTTATTGTAATTTCTTTACCTTCATTAATGACACTTAAGCTTCTTGTGGAAAATGTCATATTTTGAAAAAAAAAAAAAAGACTTTTGTTTTATTTCTCATTCCTCCTGTCCTAGTTATTTAAATACACTTAAAAGATTAATATAATTACTGTGGCTCTATGTACAGTTACTCTACATAAGTTTTCAAATTTAAATTTGTCTGAATTACTGCAACGCCGTTTTAAAAGTTTTATTTTCAGGAGATGAATGCTTGCCAAAGTAGAACCACAGCTAATATTAATCAGCATTTTCTGGTGGTTGTTTAAGGCTAAGGAGTTGAACTGTTTTTAAAGACAACTATATAGAAATCGCCCACTGGTTGTATCTGGATATAACAACTGATTTTCTTCTGTGTTTTTATTGCTATCTCACAACAGTAGCACCTGAAATTCTTACTTATCTTATCAACCTTTAAATATAATATTTAGATGCTCTGTGTATTGGAAGCACAATAGAAGGGGAGTACAATATTGGTGAAGAAATTTAATAAATAAAAATAAAGCAAATTACAGAGCAGAAGAATGCTTCATGTGGTTCCCACACCTGTTTTTTAGGTGTTTCTGTTTTCAGAGAGAACTCTTGAACACACCTAGTGTTGGAAAGTAATGAGGAATGGAAGAAAAGTTTGTGGTACAACTAAAGTTTCAGACAGTTGAGGGGTATAGAAATAAATTCTCCCTTTCATTAGTGTTAATTGATCCCGAATAGATATGGATCTTGGAGAAGTGTTTGGTTTGTGACAGAAAGACTCACTGGAGTCTAACGCTGCTGCTATCTAGAGGCTAATATGAGGTGCGGCAAAAATCAGTCTCTCCCCAGTAAAAGTCTTATCTCTAATCCTCCTTTCCCACTATATATGTGATCCTGGCCAAATAACACACTACAGTTCTGTTAAGTGCTGCTTCTTCCCTATTAGCTTTCAGTGTATTTCTAAACTTGCAGTCGCTAGCGTGGACCTCTGACTGTGAAAAAGATCTACATAGGCTGGAGATTGCTGCAGAGGTATATATTTCCACCCCTCTTTTTGAAATTAAGTTGTTGTTTTTGTAGCTGTCTTCTTTTTTTATCTTTTTCCTGCAGTTAAAATCACTACCTAGACAAATATGATTATATGTCCTGAAAAGCATTCAGGGAATCAGCTTTTTAATATGTAAAGTCAGTCATGTTACCAGTCACCCCCCGCAGTGGATCTCCCCTGCTCTTCATTGCTGTCCCGACTATCAGCAGAATAAAGCTAACAATTTCCTCACAGTAAGTGGAATGAAGTGTTATCCCAGGACAGCTGCTGCAGAGCTCCTCCTGTCTCCATTACAGCTAGGAGGTATCACATTGTTTATAAACATTCAGCAGTTTGTTTACAGATATTTCATACAGTACTTAAGCCAGTCCAGCTTTAAATGGCTAGTTTAGGCATAGTCATACATGTCTTCTCAGGTTTCAGGTTAGGCAGAAATTTTGGAGTAACAGTCGTGAGATACATTAGCAAACAGCATAGTAAACGGGAGCCATGTGAACGGCAGTATTGGTGCTCAGGGCCAAGCATCTGTACTGTGTTCTCATGGTTTACATTCAGACTAGTCCAGCCGTGCTCCTTGTGCATCTTGCATTTTAGTCTTATCTAAAATAAATCCAGTTTGCTCTACTATGCAAACCAAAGCGCGCTAAGAGTGAATGATTGGGAGATTTGCTTCAAGAGCAACCTCCTGGTCCAAGCTCAAATGCTGAGGCAGAAACCCACTCAGCTTGTGGAAAACTGCAGCATTGTAAGGCACGGAAACTGCTTACAAAATCCAGAAGGCAGCATCATGTTGGTTTGTGGTTTTGAAGATAATGTAGGCCTTGAAGACTGGAAACATATTTTTAAACAAAAGTTGAAAGTAACAAAGATACAGATTTCCATCCTTTGAGTTCATATGCAGAAAATTTCCTTATCAGCAAGGTTCTCAACCCATGTTTTTCAAATACAGACACAATAAGTTTAGTATTAATTAATTAGTTTTGTGCTGGTTCTGAAACTGAGCAAGAAGCCTCAGATAGATTCTCTGTCCTCTACCAGCTAAGCAGAGAGAAGGGCAGCTTGCAGAGTGATGGAGTGTGCAGTCCCAGTTACTGACTGGTCTGTTGCTCAGAGTTCAAAACCCCGCCGGTGTTTGTTTTC